CTCCAGAATGAAGAAGCGATGAGCAGATTAAGTTCGCTGGATCAAGACAAAAAACTGTCACACAAAACATAAGTATATGGCAGAGATTCTAGAGGCCTTCGTCTATCAATGGATTGAAAATGGCTGACGATGATATTGGATACAAATTTATCATATGCAGACGATATAGTTTTACCGTTTATGGTGTGTATCAAACCTGCCTACCATAATGAAAGTTTAGTATTTCAAACAAATTGCATTTATGAAAAAACAAGAAACAAATGAATGTATGAGAAGAACGTATACGCGTATTAGATTGTGACTTGATTTACAGTAATGGTGTTCGTCCATGATTTTTATGCCTTGAGTTCAGAATTCATCAAAATCTTCCTGCAATAAATACCTTAAAATATCCGTTTGTAAATTAATCGCCTTTCCTTTGACGGCTTTGTTCTCATATGCATTTTAGACTGCTTGTGAGTCGTACGGAACGCAGAATTCTCGCGTTCGACTGCAGCTTCTTCACGAGTTCCTCTTCCACTTGATTTACAGAGCTCCTCAATCTGATTCTTTTTGCGGTGATAACTCGTCTGACGATGCTGCAGATCCGCCTGTTTACGTTGATAAAATCTCGTGGCAGCGGTTCATTCCCCTTCTGGAGCCCAACAAGGGTAAGAGTGCATATTTTTTTGATCACACATGTTTATTTATATGTCTTCATATCACTGTTTCCAAGAATACACATATGAAACTGGAAGCGACGCTTCCACTCTCCACACACCTCCATTCAACCGGTTGTTATTTGTATGTACGTTTTCATGCAGGTATAAGAGTGATATTGTATAACACTGGTCTAATATGAAAAGGGCTACCGCTCAAACACGTTCAAAAGTTTTATAACACCATCACGTCTTCAGAGCACTTAAAGCAGTATTAACAGACATTGAATTAAATCGGTTATGTTTGGTTTACTGTTCGTCATATTTCACATACTGATACTTAGTTGTCCTTTTAATTTCCTGGAAATCATGTCCTTTGTTTCTGATCTGTGATAGGAAACTGTTATTTGTTGAACGAATAATTGTTTTTATGTTTTCATTAACTAAGTTGGAGTCTGTCTCGCGCGGCAAGGTTTGTGTATCGATGATCCTATCACCTTTGAATATAATGCATAGGCTTGACTGTAGTTAGTATGTTGTCGTTCAGTGCTTTCAAGTGAGGTTAAAAGAACATTACGGAACCATTTTGATGAGTCAGGATTAACATTCCGGGACAGTGAGCGATGCCTCACATTGAAGTTGCTCCGGCAATGGAGTTAACGCCGCCAAAATTCCAGTTATCAGTCGAGATGGACATAGAATCAAATCCTTATTAAAGAACAGTTGTATATCTCTTCTGAACAATATAGGGTGTAATACCGATTCATCAGTATTTTTTTATACCTCAAAAAAATAGTAGGACGTGCTCTTTGCTATAATCCCCTTTCTTTTATTTGTTAAGTTTCTATCACTTGCGCAGTAGTGTGTGTATTTTCTTAATTTAGCTAAATCGTTTCTTTAACCTGCATATTTGACAGATAATTTTACTGTATGTCCAGTGATAATCACTTTGAGATGTTTGGGTGAGCCAGACGTCTCTGGATTGTGATATCCGTTGTATTCCCACGTATACAGCACATTGTTAAAAGGCACCTATTGCTGTACCGTACAAAAAAATATTCCTCTCCGAAAGCAGCTCTATCACTGCCTGGCAAGCTGCAACCTCCATGTTGCCTGGTGATCTGCTGGTTGTTATATTTCATGTTTAGTCTTCCACATGCTGTTGCGAGTAAATGCTTTCTGTTCAGTCAGTTTGCTTAACATGGGTAGCCGCCATTTCTTAATCAATACGTCTGTTAAGTCACCTGCGTCTGGAAGATGACGCAATATTCATTTCTTAATCCTGTCATTAAGCCCTCATGCATCTCAGCCAATGTTGCTTATCATAGTTCTTATTTCTTTGTTAGAATGACTCTTTGTATGCCGTGTGACAATACTGGCCTAACAGAAGCAACGTACAGACGGATTTTTGTGGAAGGGCTACCCTTTTTCATCCGTAATGTTTAACATGTTACCAAAAGCGGCGGACTGGCGATGTCGATTCCCCTATTTATTTCTGACTGTGGATCGTGCCATCACGGAAGATGATTGAGACTAGTCAATGGTTTCTCCTCGGTTTGCATAGACAGAGTTGTAGCTACGCGATTCCGAATAGGAATTCTTTTCAGTATTCTTCGTGCCTATAACTGCTGAAACACGGAAAACTTCGTTTTTCTCAGTGACTTCGCATTCCAATCCGCACTCTGTTCGTGTCATATAAAATAAAGTCATAGGTCTGCAGATTATTAATGTTTATTTGTTTGTCTGTTTGAAACGATAGGTCTGAATCTGTGTTTACATGAATATATTTGTTGTGCACAAAATTGCAGAAAATCATTTAGGGTAAATGCAAAACTGCAGAACTTATATTGTTTCCATGCGGTCTAACGACAGTAAGTAGTAACGTAGCCGGTCTAATTTCCAAATTTAATGGGCTTTGTTCTTAAATTCATTAGTGTAGATTTATTTAAAATTCATAATTCTCCATAAGCTACTAAGTTTGGCACGATAAGTACATTTTTGGAAGACAGTAGACTAGTGACGAACTAGTTGCTTTAAATATTTTAATGCATCCGCTTCTGTACATTTTCAAATGTAGTCGCGTAAGCTAGATAAAAGAATATTAAAGCTTCTAACGCACACGTCGTATGGAGTTAATTGCTGAATAACTGTAAGACAACAGGTCATTGATTTCACGCTAAATAGGTTACCAAATAGTGCCAATAAATATAGAACTCTTTGCTTTTTCATCGTATCTGCGAGCAGTCTAATCATACGTTGCTTTCAGGTTTGGCAGTTGGATGGTTCACCATTGACCAGATCATTCCTTTCTTACCCTTGTCTGTCTGTTGCCAGATTTACCGAATGGCTTATCGAGTATGTTTTATCTTCTTTAAAATCATAACCTTCAAACAGAATCAGTTGTTTACAACGCTTTTATGTTGCATTGCACCCAGAATGCTGTTAATTTTTTGAAGAGGGTTTAGGAAACAACGCGAAACAACGCAAAATAAGGCACAAAACCATAATATTTCAGTTATTACCTTAGCTAGTACTTGTTGTGGGGGAGTTTTATTGCTTGAATGCCATCACTCAGGGAAATATATTGCAGCATTATAAATAAGCAAAAG